ATAATATATACATAGTACATTAGTAGGTACCTTATATATAATACAACTTAAAATTAGTTAACTAAAATATCCCAATAGCTGTAGACGTAGTACAAAGCAGTTTGCAAGAATCTGGACTATTTTTTACGCGGTTACATGGTAACCCTCTTTTTATTAAACTAAAATCGGTTTTGTTTGGTCAATCTTTTTAAATAGAACCCTTTGAAAGGCCCCTTTTGATGTTGGAAGAACCGTCAGACCCTCATAGAACTTTAAACTACTTTGAAACAAAAATGCAAATGAAGCTGACATCAAAATGAGGAATAATTAAGTATGTTGCGAATAATTTTATTATTTATTATTTGAATGCAAATATTTATTTAGATAGTTATTATTTATTATTTAAATGCAAATAAAATATTGTCTTTATGGAAATAGTTTGACGAGTAGTTATTAATTAAAAAAGTAAAAATAACCTAATGCATTCAAGACATTCCACTTATTTCGTATAACTCCCTTCTATTGTCAACTGATTCAATTTAATACTAACGACTCACCCTCGCTTCGCTCGGGTTCATCCCTAGGTACAATTTAACGGTTAGTATGAAATAAATAGACTATATATTATACTAGCATTGCCCGCGGCTCCGCCCGCATTCAGATGACCAAAAACCAAATTACATATTAATATTCTCTTACATTGCAGTTTTTGTATTTTTTCTCTTAAATGAGATATTTTCCTGCGGTAAAAAGTATCCTATATGTTGACCCGGATAACCAGCTATCATCATACCAAATTTCATCAAAATTCCTCTAGTGGTTTTTCCGTGATGCGGTAACAGACAGACAGACAGACAGACAAAAAATCTAAAAACTATAGATTCGTCCTCTGTATCGATAATAATGTCTATTTCAATAAGATTTTCTAAAAAATATTTAATGTACAGATTTGACTTAGTTAGAATTTTATTATATGTATAGATATACATACATAGGTACAAAATAAATAGTTCTGAACTTTTCGATTTTTCAGCTGTTTTTTTGGGATTTCTCCTATTTTTTTACTTATTCCCTCCACGACCACAGACACGCCGGCGTGTCAGTTAACAATAGATTTCTTAGAATTTTAATTAATTTCTTAGAAATTTACCTGGAGGTGTTAAACCACCCCTGACACACCGCCAATAAAACAAAAAAGAATTATTCAATTCGGTCTAGCCGTTTTTGAGTTTTAGCGAGACTTACGAACGGCAATTTTTATAAAGATAGATTTAATGATAATAATTTTATTATGAATAGGCCATACTTATATGAAAAATTCATATAAATAAAAACAAATATTTATTCCTAAAGATGGAAAACATCCGATTTCGAAGTTGTTATATCTAGCAAAATAGACGTCCCAAAATGGTTAACAAATATGTGTAATATGTAGTGGTAACGGCAAGCATCGTGACACAAAGCAATGTATGTAATGGAGAAAATATGCTATCCCTGACAAAAGAGGTTTTTATTAAAACGCGGTACAGATTCCTTTTCATCCGCTTTGATCCCCTTCACTTTATAGCGGCAATAGCTTTTGATTTAAACAGCAATGACAGATGGATAGAAGGAAAAGACGAAATTTTAAGGTTTTAAAAATTTGGGTATTAATCTTTAAAAGGATAACCAGCTATCACCATACCAAATTTCATGAAAATCCCTCCAGTGGTTTTTCCGTGATGCGGTAACAGACAGACAGACAGACAAAAATTCTTAAAACTATAGATTCGGCCTCTATATCGATAATAATGTCTATTTCAATAAATATTTAATGTACAGATTTGGCTTAGTTACAATTTTATTATGTGTATAGATTATAACAATAGAATTAAAATGTTAACATGAGTGTATTATTAGTAGAATCTAGAATTGATTAGGAAAAGTTAATAAACTTAATATGATTTCGTCAAATATTATACTTTTAATACTATTTATTGTTGTATTTAGATAAGACGAGGCTTATATTAATCGTTTTTACAATCGTAATCTAGTTACTGATAATTGTAGCGGTGTTCTTTATACAAGTTGCTCAATTCATCTATTGTGAACTGATACTTTATGCGGTGACTATTCAGCTTTAAAATTTAATAAAAAATCACCATACATCTATACATATAATAAAAGTGTATCTGATCGCTGTCTGTACATGGAAGATATTTGAGAAAAATATTTGGGGGGTCTTTATTTACGCAATAGAATCCAAAACAATGATTTTTAGAATTTTTGTTTGTGCGTTTGTGCGCGCTAATCTCAGAAACGGCTTAACTGATTTGAACGCGGTTTTCACTAATATATTATGGTAAGCTTCACTTAGCATTTAGTATTAGTTTTATTTCTATCGGTTCATAAATAAAAAAGTTGCGTCAATTTAAAGAATCACTTAGGGACGAACCCGAGCGGAGTGAGGGTGAGTCGCTAGTTAGTATTATAAGTCCAAAAGTTTGTTATACATATATACTGGACAGATTTTGATGAAATCAAGTTCAACAGTAGGAGACCCGATCAATGTGGTGGACCCCTCACTCTTTTTCCAGGCGAAATAATTTTTTTAAACCATAAAACATATTAACAACATTACCCAAGGGGGTTGACACCACCCGGGGGAGAAGCCAACTCCTACCGGGCGCGTCCCCAGGTGGCGGATAGGGGAATGCCACCCGCTTAGGGCGGCGGGCGGTACCGGAGAAATCCGGCGCGGACCAAATGGCTTGGATGGGGCCGCTCGTCTAGGCCTCGAGCCGAAGACGTTGCGGCCACCGGTAGTGGGACCGCTTGGTCCCACAACCGGATGATGGGTGCCGGTTGCGGGACTGGGGTCGCAGGCCCGCATCCGGCGGAGGGGTAGGCCGCGGCGGGAGAGGAGTGCCGGTATTTCGGTGCGCCGTTCTCCCTACCTTCCGCGGCCTAGACGGGGCCGCCACCGTTTGATGGCGGACGCGGTGGGGCTGCAGAGGAAGAGGAGTGTCTGTGTTTCGTTGCCGCTCTCCCTGTCCTCTGCAGCCGATTTGAGGTGGCCCACTTCGGTGGGCGGAGGTTCAGTTTTATGGAGCTGCTCCGGGTACCTCTCTGGTGTAGCAGAGTTGACTGTGGAGCAGCCCCATTGGTGTGGTGGTCAGCCGTTGGCAGACCTGCCGCCGGGGCGCCGTAGTAGTTATGCGCAAGCGATCCTGCGGCGTCCCATTAAGGCGGAGGGGAGGGGAATGTCGGGTTTTAGTGGGTAGTACCGGCTCTTCTAGCCGGTGAGCCCCACATCACCACCCGGGGGATCAGGTGGTATGCGTAAATGCATTTCCCGACATAAAAAAAAAAAAGGGGGTTGACACCAAAAAATTGCTCTAAGGTATTTTTAACCCCCGAAACGTAATATGTAAAGAATATAGAAGCAAAATGTAATAAAAAATATAAGTTATATTAATTAAAAAAAAATTAAAAACTTAAGTTTGAGTTCAGTTTTTAATAATATAAATATACTCGTACAGCTTTTCTACCGCATTCGTTTTAATATTCATCTGAAATAGGGTGGAAAGATTAGTCGTTTAGCGCCGCGCCATTTCATTTTACGAACTGCGCTAATACTCGTCGAACTTGTCACTGAGTATACCTATTACCTACTGTTTCAATAAAAATATTTTATGCGATTTAAAAAAGTTTTGTCGTAAAATAGTGTGGTATGTGTCTTTGATAAGAAAGTTTGTCAAAGCCCTTTCATTGTCTTTATATATAAAATTCCGTAGTGAGTTTGTCGCAATTCTTTTCGTAAACGGCGTTTCCGATGTTAATGATTTTTTTGTGTTTCACCTAGATGGTTCTAAGTTAAAGTTGAAACCGGTAGGTGGCGTTGTTCTGAAGTTTTTTCGATAAGTTTTTTTTTTTAATTTCTTACATAAAAATGTATCAAATAAAAAAAAATTGGTCTAAGCGAAGCGAGGACGCATCCCATAGTTTCAATATTAAAAGAAATTGCTAAAATGATGCTTAAAACCTTAAATATTATAGTTATAATTACTTTTTATTGAATTGAACAATCGAATACACCTATATATTAATAACATATTTGAGATTGGAGAAATCAAATTTTATTTTAAAAGCTAATCTTACTTTACAATACATTTCACAAAGTCCGTGTTCAAATTCAATCAATTTTCCTTTATTTCGCACTAGCTTAAGGCACCTTCAAATTCGAAATGGTTTTTCGAGATCGAAATGGTTAAATTGTTCGTTGGTTTCAATTCTCATAGTATTATATGTTATAAAAAAAAAATATTTTATCAGTGGTTTTCTCGTGATGCGTTTCCAGACAGACAGACAGACAGACAGACGAAAATTCTAAAAACTATAGATTCGGCCTCTGTATCGACAATAATGACTATTTCAATAAGATTTTCCCAAAAATATTAAATGTACAAATTCGATTTAGAATTTTATTATATGTAATAGATTTTTCCTATAAAATATTAAGCGAGGCGAGTTCTTAATATACATCTTAAAACATTTATAGTTACTGTTTTAGCAGTAAATGGATGCAAATTGTCTCATTGTTTATCTTTCTTATCGTATTAATTAACTAATGTTACCCGACCTACTTCTAAAGGTAGTTGCGGTGATCACTCTAATATGCACGTTCATTTCCACGCAGTCAAGTAACGTAACATTATCACGAAAGAACTGTTTCTTGAAGTACTTACTAATTACTAAACAATAATTATCTCATTCTAACAGGTGTTTTTATTATTAATGAGAAAGAGATAGCTTTACATCCTTTGCGCCTTTTAAAACTACATGTCTCAGTGACCATGAACCTAAATTGTACGAATGGTTTAAATATAATCTATACACTCCTGAAAAAAGACTGATAATATAATCCTTAGATATTAGAAATTCGGGTCCAATAAACAGTATTACTGATTAGTGATCCAAGTGTCTTGCCGAGGCCTATCGTTTAAGCGATAAAATTAAACCTTGTCAACTGCCTATTATAAATGGCGCCAACTGATAACATACCAAATGGGATTCGCACTGCATCTGAACCTATCAGCTCTAAGCTGTTCCTCTCGGACGAAGAGCCCAAACATGAAGTAGCGGGTAGTGTTATGGACGGTTTGATAATGGAAGCCACAGAAGGTTATACAGTGTATCGGACGCGATGGTTCATGCTGGCATTCTTCGTCCTTTACTCAGCATCGAATTCCCTCCAATGGACGCAGTATACAATAATTTCGGATATTATAGTGAAATATTATGGTGTGAAAAGCCACGTGGTGTCGTGGACGTCTATGGTATATATGATTACGTACGTGCCTTTGATATTTCCTGCTAGCTGGCTGCTGGATAAAACGGTAAGTTGTTTTAACTTTTATTTCTGCCTTAGAGGCAGTCTTTTTTTATGAAATATTTCTATGTATTTATTCTGCGCCTTTGATAGCTCAAACGGTTGGATGGATTTTAACATATGAGATGACGTTATAATTGTTTAAGGCGTTTAGTGTCACCAATGGCCTTGAGTGTTTGGGCGGGTCTTAGCGCGCTGCACCCGCGCACCCCGCAAGAAAGCATCAAACAATCCACGCAATATTATACCAGAACACCGATCAAAAAATACGCCACATTGACGCGCGCCATAGTTTACTGCCTACGAGCGATACAATCCGAAAAGAGTCAAAGAGATGCACTGCTAGAATTATCGTGCTATATAATATAATTAATTATAATCCTACTAATAGTCTAAAATACGTGAATGATTTTCATGAAATTTGGTAAATATAATAATAAATAATATCATTGTATGTACTAGCATTGCCCGCGGCCGCGTTCAGATGAGAACCAGCTACCATCATACCAAATTTTATCAAAATCCCTCCAGTGGTTTTTCCGTGATGCGGTAACAGCCAGACAGAGCGTGTTCGCGTACCAGAAACTAGTATATATATATTTTTTTAAATATAACAGGAAAATGATGATAACAAGATTCTGTACGGCGATAAGTTATTCTTTGAAACTTCTTGCTATTCTTCGGCAAGTAATGAAAACTTAACAGCAGTATGGAGGTTTCCGCACTTTAGTTGGATAACTCTATTTCCTGTGTTCCGAGAATATTTCATTTATCGCCACTTCGTTTATGAGCTATATAATGTATATATTTGCATTCGCCCAATTCCTCTATAATATAATACTTTCTTAGATTTACGCGAATGTTTGACATTATTAAATAAAACTATCTTTTCGGATTATTTCGCGGATTTATTTTGATTTTTGGTTCCCGACGTTTCGAATGCTTTACAGCATCCATGGTCACGGGAGAGACTGAGGTGTTACATGTCTTAAATGTATAGTTGTTACAGACAGCCTACCCACAATTAACAAAATGAAAATTGCACCAATTACATTTTTATAAAAATGTTTAAAGTTAAAAAATATTGTAATGTAAGCTGGAGAGAGAATGAGACAGAAAATATTGACATGTTGCCATGGTAACTGTTGTTACTGTCTAAGAAATAATAATTATATTAAGTTTTACTTCTACTAGGTGTAAATTGCACGCACACGCACTTTTTATTTTATCTGAGTGTACGAGTATCACGTAAGACAATTTCTGTGGTAGGGGTAATGGGAAAAGTGATGTATGGTGGATCTAACCGGCATAATGTAAGGAATGATATATTGCGGGTGAACTGTCAAGCGGTACAGTTTAAAGCGTGTGTGAATTGTAATTTAAGCCCTTTTATTCATCTAACTTTAACAGGTTTAATACAATATTAGAATTAATAATTTAAGTCAAATTTGTCTGAAGCTATATAGCATTCTTAACTTGTACATATTTACCTAATAGGTATTTACTTTTTATTAAAAAAAGCTATATCGACTTTGAAATCTAAGTAAAACTCAAAAATATTTCTTTTTATTATTATTATTTTCTCATGTACATATATACGATGAAAAACTCCTGAATGCTAATCTACAATAAAGCCCAATTAACGGTTTCAAAGGATTTTTTTATCTATTCTACTTGATACTGGTGAAGTAAATGCGCCCTTTTGTCAGACCTAGGTAAAGGCTAAGAGCTATAAAATAATGAATTTAATTAAGATATTCTACGAGATAAATGACTAAAAACACTAAAAAGAGGAAAATCTGAGCGGTGTTTATAATAACCTCTGGACTTCTTAAGAAAGGGAGGCTTAGTCGCCTAGAAATAAGGGATCATAAGTTTGAGTACTCTTAAGAACGGGCCAGTTCGATATTTGCCTCAATGAATTACAAAGTTTTAAATTTTAATAAAGGAAAATATTTAGTGCGCTTTCATTTGTGGCACGGTCTGACAATTTAATGAGTGGACTGATGCATGGACTTCTCCATATACGCGCAGAACGGAATTATATCACGCAGTATTCATTAATTTTGTTTCGAATATTTGAGTTATAAGCAATATTAGCAGCAGTGGTAGCCCAGTGGTAGCGTGCTCGCTTGGGAAACCAAGCGAAGCGAGTTCAAATCACGGATCTCGCACCTTTGATATTTTCATGTGCGAATCATTTCTAACATAATTAACACTTGCTTTACGGTGAAGGAAAACATCGAGAAGAAACATGCATGTCTGAGAGAACCTAGCAAGTTTTCAAAAGACATGTGCAGTCCGCCAACTCGCACTTGGCCAGTGTGGTGGACTACGGCCTGATTGCCTCGTACTGAAGGGAGGCCCGTGCCCCACAGTAGAACGTTAAAATGGCTGAATACAATACTGTCGGCGACGGAAAACTTATCTTCGAGTAACGTGTGTATTAATATAGGGACAATGTCATTTTAGCGTATTATGAATAATTGTTGTAAATATGAAATCTCATTCTTATTAGATTTATTATGTTAAAATAAGTTCTAATTAGTGTAATAAGGTTAGTTTAGAGTATTTTTTGCTTATTTGAATCATATAAGACTATTTAACATTAATTTGAAAGGAATAGGTACGTAAGTAAAATGTTAGCATATAATTACGTAACTTGAAAATGAGATTTTTTGTTTCTTGCAATAGCATAATAGTTTATGTTTTAAATAATAGATTTTATTATAAAACTTATAATAAAACAAGAATTAGGTCGATAGGACTATCCGTTCAAAAGTTATAAGGGAAAATGTATAGTAAAAATGTAGCAACCTAGAAATTTAGATATTTTTGTTTTAAGACTTTTTTAATTAATTATTATATATTGAATATTATGTTTTAATATTGTATAATAGTATGTAAGGCATGTAAATAAATAAATATGTGTAAGGTGTTTTACTGAAAACATAAAATAAAAGGACTCTCAAGGTTTCGGTTTAGGGAAATTTTATTCGAAAAACGAGCTCAAAGTACGCGGCTCTCTGTAAGGTATTAACGGGCCAAATAAAAGGCGAGCCATTTCTCGATTCGAGTCAGTCGCAAGACAGCCACCGAAGAGGCAACAACTAAAAGGAAAAGGAAGAACCGAAACCAAGAGAGAAAAAAGGAAAAATTGTGTTTTATTTCATCGCCTCTAAGTATAGTCTCCTGTCAACGAAGAAACCCTAGTGGATCGGGACCCAAGCTACGCATTCAGGGGTGCGTGGTGGCGTACATTACCAGCGAACGGACATACTGCCGTGTACGCCAAGAACGTCTGGGAGATTGTCCCAGGTCGACCTCCGGGTACTAGACATACCCTGGTTCTGGTCGTCCGAAACAGTTGGTCCTTCGAGCCGGATCCCTGCTAGAAGAAGTTCAGAAGAAACAGAAGATTGCGTTCAAGATGCCGGTAACCAGGTCGCAGAAGGATGCCCCCTCACGTCCCGGGTCCCGTCCTTCAGATAGGGACGCGACAGATGGAACGTCGGGATCAGAAGGGGTCACGTCAGCGTCGGCGTCATCGGGAACTGCAACTACATCGAACACTTCTTCGGGTACCACGACCACGGAGGGCACCACAGTGACGGAGACTACGGTTACGACTGCAACTACGGCGGCGTCTATGGAAGGCAACAAAGAAGATGCTGCACAGAGGATGACCAGGAAGAGCCAAGAAGATGTACCTGGAAAGGATGTTCAAGGCTCCTCCAAGACCCTGAAACCGATGGGGGTCAGTCGTCGCGCCAGGTCCACGAAGACCACGAGTTCCTCGGCCAGAAGACGCGAGCTAGAAGCAAAGGAAGAGTTGGCACGCCTGGAGTTGAAGCAAGCACAGGCTGAAACTAAGCTAGCCCGTGTCAGATTGGAGATGGCACAGTGTGAAGAAGAGGACTTCGTGGATGAAGACCTGGAAGACAGAACAGCACAGGTGCAGAACTGGATCGAGACGTCTGTGCTGGAGGATGGCAACAAAGTTCAACCAGAGATGCGAGGTCCACACCCCTTGGAAGAGCCACAGAAGATGAAGCCTGAAGAGAACTCCTCAACGAGAGGAGCTACGATTGAAATTCAAGCACTGACGGCAGCATTGAAGGAAGCTCTTACCACGCGAGGACCAGCAGGACAGCCAACCTACATTCACGAGTTACCCTACTTCGACGGCAACAGCAGCGAGTGGATGGCCTTCAAGGTTGTCTATGAAGATACAGCACCGATGTTCAACAACGTCCAGAATATGGCTCGGCTAAGAAGAGCACTGAAGGGCAACGCAAGAGAAGCTATCAAGAGTCTGCTGTACTCCGAAGCCTCTCCGATGGAAGTGATTCAAGCCCTCAGAAGAAGATATGGAAGACCAGATGCACTGGTGCTGGCAGAGTTGGACAAGGTCAAAACGTTGCCGAAGATTTCTGAAAACCCAAGGGACATATGCCTCTTCGCGAGCCAGATCAGCAACAGCGTAGCGGCAATAAAAGGATTGAAGAAACCACAGTACCTGCATTCACCTGAGATGGTGAAACAAATTATTGAGAAGATGCCTACGATCCTCAAGTTCCGATGGTACGACTTCATTGAAACAACAGAAGGCGAGTTCTCCGACCTAACACTGGTGTCCAAGTTCCTGAACAGAGAAGCAGACAAGTGTGGAGCCTATGCATCAACAGAAGAGAAGAGCGGGTTCAGACGGACTCATCGACAAGCAACGCATTCAACTAAGGAAAAGGACTTCAAAGAAAAGGTTTCAAGATCAGAGAAGACTTGCCCCATGTGTGAGGGTGAACACTTCCTCGTCGGGTGTCAAAAGTTCCTTAAGGCGTCTGTGCAAGATCGATGGGCAATAGTGAAGAAAAGCTGCGTTTGCTTCAAGTGTTTACAAGGGACACATCGGAAGGAGAGCTGCAAGAAGCCGTCGTGCAAGGAATGCAAGAGGTGGCATCATCATCTGCTGCACGTCGAGACAGAGAAAAGTTCCTCGGAAGAACAGAAGAACAAACCACAAGAAGTGGCGAGCATCATGGCATCGGTGAATGCGGTCAACAACGCAAGGGCATACCTGAAGATAATTCCGATAGAAATCTTCGGGTCAAAAGGATCAAAGAAGATATTGGCCCTCATGGATGAAGGGTCAACAGTGTCGCTGCTAGACCAGAAGGTAGCAGAAGAAATCGGCGCTCAAGGAAGAAAGGAGGAACTGGTCATCGAGACTGTTGGAGGCAGGCTGATAAGGAAGGAAGACTCTCAGATGCTGGACCTTACGGTGAAGGGGATTCATCAGAAGACCAAGAAGACCTTGAGAAGAGTCCGGACCATCGACGAGTTAAAGCTTGCACCGCAGTTCCTAGAAAAGAAAAGGATAGAAGAGTGTCAACACTTGAAGAAGATTGCTGACTCTCTATATTATAAGGGGGAGTCACCACAGCTGCTCATCGGTCAAGACAACTGGGAGCTAATCGTGACTCAAGAAGTAAGAAGAGGGAAACCAGGACAACCAGTCGCTTCAAGAACAGGACTTGGATGGGTGCTCCACGGGTCAGACACTGGAGGCGCGAAAGTGGTGCACTTCTTAAACACGTGTCTACATGTCAGCACGCCAGAAGAAGAGATGCATCAAGCCATCAAGGATCACTTCGCAATCGAAGCACTTGGAGTACTACCAAGAAGACCCACTACGGATTCAGAAGGAAGAGCACTCACCATCCTAGAGAAGACCTGCAGAAGACTAGAAGATGGTCGATTTGAAGCTGGACTTCTATGGAAAAATGAAGATGAACAGATGCCTGAAAGCTACACGTCTGCCAAGAACCGA